GATTACTTATGAGTTACATTTTATGTATCCTGTGCCCATTCTCTTTTTCTTTTCCTTCTGATATTCTAATTACACATAGATTTGATCTTTTAATATCATCAGTGAAACTTTATTTTAAAAAATTTATCTCTGTTCTTCACTGTGGGTAATTTCTATTTATCTATATTAAAGTTAATTTACTCTTTCCTGTCAGGTCAGTGTGACTTTAAGTCTATCCATTGAACTTTGTGCTTTAGAATTTATATTTTCAGTTCTAAAATTTCTACTCGGCTCTCTTTTATTATTCTATTTATCTACTGAGACTTCCCTTTAAGAGTACTGAGATTTCTTATGCATTAAAAAGGATGCTTGGTTTCATTTCACGTGGCCAATTGAACATCCTTGTAAGTTCCGACTTTGATTCATCTTGGGCCTGACTGTTGATTTTTCTTTCTTTAAGAATGTGTTCCATTTTCTTGATTCTTGAGTGATTTTTAAAAAAATCATTTTCTAGATGTTGTGAACATTAAGTTGCGGTGATTCTGGACTCTGTTATTTTTCTCTGATAAGCATTGTTTCTCTGGTGTTAGCAGGTGGTTTCCTGGCTGGGCTTGAATTGCACTTCTTTTCTGGTGCTGCAGCTCTGGCCTCAGTTTGGCCATGCGTGGTTTGTAGGCATAGAGTTGGTGGATCTGCTCTCCAGCTCATTTCTTGCAAGACAGGGTGTCCCCATGGCAGACTCCACCCAGCTCCGGTGGCAAACTGGAGAGACGGAACGCACTCTAGAGCACCCACCTCTCCTCCTGCGAGTGTGAGTGTCGCCCCCCCCCCACCCCGCTGCTGTGTTCCGTCTCCAGTGCCTGCAACTAGTTGTTTTGCATTATGTCTGGTGTTAGATTTTTTTCTACACGGAGGTTGTCTGCAGGGTCTTAGTCCAGCATATCTGGAAGTAAAACTCTAATCTTTTTTTGTACGTTTCCCTCTTTTTTGTTGTTTCGGGTTTTTTGTTGTTAATCCTCACCGGAAGATATTTTTTCCATTGATTTTTAATCAGGTGGAAGGGAGGAGGAGAGACAGAGGGTAAGAAACATCGATGTGAGAGAGACACATCGATTGGTTGCCTCCCACACACGCCCCAACCAGGGTGGGGATTGAGCCTGCAACCGAGGTATGTGCCCTTGACCAGAGTTGAACCCAGGACCCTTTAATCCAAGGGATGATGCTCTAACCACTGAGCAAAACTGGCTAGGGCTCTAATGTCTTTTTAAATAGTAAAATGTTATATATTGTATTAGCAATCATTAATGTCTAAGAATGGTTTTCTTCTGCATTTTTAGACTATTTGTTAAGTGAGGAAAGAATTTATTCATTTGAACATTAATTTTGACTGAATATATAAAACTGTAGAATTAGCTGTAACCGGTTTGGCTCAGTGGATAGAGCATCGGCCTGCGGACTGAAGGGTCCCAGGTTCAATTCCGGTCAAGGGCATGTACCTTGGTTGCAGGCACATCCCCAGTAGGAGGTGTGCAGGAGGCGGCTGATCGATATTTCTCTCTCATCGATGTTTCTAACTTTCTATCTCTCTCCCTTCCTCTCTGTAAAAAATCAATAAAATATATATTAAAAAAAATAAAACTGTAGAATTAGCTTTGAAAATAAATTTTTAAACTGTACCAAACAGTACAAGTCAATTCTAGAATTGTCTAATAATTGCTCATTCTTTCAGGCATGATGCAGAGACACAAAGAGGTGTTCTAAGTGGCCCTGGTCCACACTTTAGAGAGAGTGGAAGGGAAGGGGAGAGGCAGAGAGAAACATCCATGTGAGAGGGACTCATTGATTGGCTGCCTCTGATATGTGCCCCGACTCAGGCCCGGGATTAAGCCTGCAATTAAGGTGCATGTCCTTGACCAGAAATTGAACCCGGACCCTTCAGTTCACAGGCCAACACTCTATCCACTGAGTGAAACCAGCCAAGGCAAGACTTGACTTTTTAAGAATCACTGGAAGCCTCTTCACCCAGGTGCTCTGGGACCAGCCATCACTGACGTGGCGAGGGGCCTGTGCGGGGAAGTTCCTAAGTTAGAAGAAACCAGGAGGTTGAGGTGCTCGCAAGCCAAGCTAACAAGCTTGTCTGGGGGCCTTGGTGGGTTAGAAATGCCACTTGCTGTAGGGATATACTTTGAGATGTCTACACCTAAAATGATACGATATTTGGAATCTACATCAAAGTAATCCAGTAGGGAGGGACCGGCGGTGAGAGGGGGGGGGGGGGGGGGGGGGGCAGTGAACCTGGGGCCGGGCTCCTGGCAGTTGATTATTCTACGTTTGCGTGTGTGTGAAAGTCTCCGTAATAAAAAGTAAATAAAAAGAGGAGGAAAGTGGAGATGCAGAGGGCGCTGGGTGGCTTCGCTCTGACTTGCAGACAGCTCATCTGAACCTTCCTCGCTTCCCCTAAGGCCTCATCTTTAATGGGGATGAGAGCATGTTACTGAGAGGGTCGTGTGGGGGATTACCAGGTAGATGAGATCATGTAATGAGAAGCACGTAGCCCAGGGCCTGGCCCAGCACATTCCGTGACCGATGTTGGTGGGCAGCGAAGCAGCCAGACATTTGAGCCCCGAGTGACACAAAGTTGTTACAAAACACCAGGGAAGAGCAGTTCTGCTCCCTACACAGGGGACGGAAAGTGCAGGACCAGAGCCAAAGCAAACAGCATCATGTCACACCCACCTGAGCCCCAGTGCCCTGGGAGACGCCGCCCGGAGCCAGGTGGACGCAGGGCCAGCCTTAGCGACGGGTATTCTGCCTGGAGGAAGCCAGGGCAGCAGGGAGGGGCCTGGTGGGGGCCGGGCAGTGGCTGAGGGCACCAGAGCCCAGAGAGGCAAATCTGAGCAGGCCTGGAAGGCGGGCCCACCATCTGGGCAGGGATGGGAGGCAGATCCAGAGCCAGGACTGGGAGAGACACATGGATGGGACATCAGGACAGGTTCAGGGAGTCCCAAGGCAGGTGGCTCAGAGAATGTTCTAGAGTAAGTTCCTGCCCTAGACCCGGTAGGCTAAGCTGCCGCAGAGGTAGGGAGCCATGTGGACTTGTGTGTGGTGGGGGAACAGAGCAGGGTGGGAGGGATGAGTAAAGCAAGACTTTCAGACTCTTCCCTTCTCCCTGGAGGCGGGCGGGTGTGCTGGGTGAGGAGGTGAGGCAGGGCCCTGCTGGCGACTGGGGACTCGGCTCCCACCAGCCTCCCACCTGGAGTGGCCGCTGCAGACACACGGGGTGACCAGGCCTGCACAGGCGGCGTCTCCCTGGGCCCTGGGGGCGGGTTTGATCGGCCCTGCTGCTTGACTTTTCTGAGATTTTCCTGTATCTGATGGTCTGGTCTAATGAGACACGAGTGGCAGCAAGTTGTAAAAACGCGTCTGACTCTCCCACGCTGTGCCTTCTACAGGGCGCTCCCAAATATCCCCTGTGCTTGCATGTGGCGCCTGAGCTGACCTCCACACAGTGGCTACAGACAGCTGCCTGGTGCTGACCCCTCCGCCCCCGCCTGGCCGTGCGCTGCGAGGGTGGCGGAGCCTGACCGCGGTGTCCTGGCCTGAATGTGCTCGGTCGGCGGCTAAATAACTGGCTAAGCTCAGAGGATGCGGCTCGCACTGCTCAAAGCAGCCGCACAAACACTGAACACTTACTCGTGTTAACTGGCAACACATGTTTGGTGAACATTTCTGAGATAGTAGTTATTCCAGGAACTTACCCTACCTCATTTACTGCTGTGGACCTATGCTAAATCTCAACAAATAATACTAACCACCAGGAAGTGTTAAATAATTCGTAAAACATGCTTATAATAGAAAACTTCTCCGCAATTAACAATGGTGACAGCCATTTATATTGATCGACATTCAGAGATGTCTAAGATGTCTGCAGGGTGGGCCAGAGGAGGGGCACCGTCGCTCACCTGAAGATGGCACACTCACTAATAGATAACAATACAAGAATAAACTCAGTTTCTCAGATCACAACTGTAAACCTACTTTTGCCCCACCCTGTATATGGAAATAAATAGGTTTCAGAAGAGCATTTAGTTACGCTCATCTTTATAATAAAACATCTCAGGTGTGTGTGCGCTGACACATAGAAGCATGTTCATCCTGGCAGGTGGCTCGGTTGGTTGAGCACCAAGGAGTCTCAGGTTCGATTCCCGGTCAGGGCACATGCCTGGGCTGCGGGCTATATCCCCGGTAGGGGGCGTGCGGGAGGCAGCTGATCAATGCTTTCACTATCAAATCGATGTTTCTCTCTCTCCCTCTCCCTTCCCCTCTCTCTAAATATACATAAAAAACTATTCTTAGAAAAAACAGAAGTGTTATAATGTCAAGTGTCTTGTGACGTGGTGACTAGCAATCTCTGTTTTCTTCTTGATACTTTCTACTTCGTGAAGTTTGTAAGATACGTCTTTCTTGTAATGAGCAAAATTAAGCCCTTTTGGTGAGAAATGTGTTTGTAAACATGACCAGAGGTGGAAGGCCTTAGGCTTTCTCCATAGATAGTTGTTTACAAGGCACAAGAATGGTGAAAACAAGCAGCTCTTTGTAGTTACAGGAAGACAGTCCTTACAGGATGAGTGTGGCTGCCGTGAGCACCGGGCCTGCAACGCTGGGGAGCCCCCCGTGGTCCGTGGCTCCTGAGGTGACCCATCCAAGGCTTCACTTGGTGCTGAGGACACGGAAGATGAGGTCCCGGGTGGGGCAGAGCTGGGTCCCCGCTAGGAAGGCCCGTGCCCCCCTCAGCCCCTGCCCCCCATCCCGTCAGGTAGGAGGGATCGTGGCCTGTGCTCAGAAGCCAGAGGCACCTCCAGATGCTGAGCTGTCAGCCAGGGGCGGCCCTGCAGGCTGAGCCAGGCCCGAGGAGACCTGCCTGCAGATGCAGCTCCTGGCGCAGGGTACCTGTTTCTCAGCTCTGTGCTGGGCCGTGCTCACACTGGTCACCTCGCTGACGCTGCCTCCTTCCCCCACAGCTGGCCGCCTTCCGCAGGCTCCTGTGCACCCCTGAGGGCCACGCGGCCGCCTTCCTGCTGAGCAACCACCGGCCCCCACAGCCCCTGAAGGGCCGCCAGGTGAGGGCCTCCTTCCTCTGACAGCCGTGGCCGGGGACCAGCCCACACATGTCTGCGGAGAGAAAACAAGACCAAACAGGACACAGAATCCCTCCCGATGGCGGTTTCCCTGAGTTCCGGCCGGGGGTGCCCTGTGCTGTCAGCCGCAGCAGAATATCTGATCCCTGTGACCACGGACCTCACTCCCGGCCTGGGATTCGTGCTCCCGGCCTCGGAGCAGGAAACTGCCACGTGTGCAGAACCACGAGATGCGTCCACCGCCACCTGCAGGGAACTGGGCAGCATCGCGAACCTCAGCTCGTGCTAAACATTGTCTGTCGTAGAGACCGAGCCAGTCACCTTCTCCGCGATGTTTGGTAAAAATCTTGAGTTCGTTTCCAGAGTGACAGAATGGGGTACCTCTTTCTGCCTGCAGACTACAGCTCCTGGCACAGGGTACCTCTTTCTGTGGGGAAACCAGGGATTCTGCTCAATGTGTTGATACATTCCACTTCATTAAAAAGTTGGTCATATTTCCAATGTTAAAGTGAATTTTGGTTTTGATTGTGTCGCCGATTCATGATGCCTTTGAAAAAACGAGCAATAGGGGAGTTGGTGGGGGTGGGGGAGGGATGTGGCTACTCGCAGCCTCTACTCCACGGCTCAGAACCGCCAGTTTGGGTGAGAAACTCATTGGGATATAAACGCTATTTAAACTTCAGTGCTAGTGCTGTATGTCCACCCACGGGGTGTTACTGATAAACTGGGTAACATTCAGCAGATGCAGTGCTGGCCAGCTCCTGCGTCTAGGCCCTTTGAAGCCTAGAGCCTAGTGGCCCAAGCAGGCAGGATGCTGAGGGTGTGGGGAGGCCGGGCCCCTTCAGCCCTGGGTTTCCCCGAAGAGCAGGGCAGTCCTGCTGCCCGTTCTGTCCGCTGAGGGGCAAGTTCCTGAGCTTCAGATAAAGGTGCGAGCCATCCACCAACACGCCCATTTCCGGGCAAAGCCCATCGTCCCTGGCCATGTCCCTCAGTGTGTAAGTGATTCTGCAAGGTGGCCTTGCAGAATTGATATGTACTTCACCCTATTGCTCTGGTGCATTTTATGTGTTTTGGTGAAGGAGGATGGGGCTGGGGCTCCTCCTGGTACAAGGACTGACCCTGCATTACAGAAGGGATGGACCTCACGCTGACATTTGAGAGAACTGAAACTGAGTTCCCTTGATTCTGATGCTTTGTTAGCACCCCTCCCTCCCGCTGGGCGTGGGTTTCGTTGTAGGAGTTATTCTGAGATGTCTTGTTGGAGGGGGCCTGCGTGTCGGTTGGCAGGAATAGCCCCAACACGATGCTGCCTGCTCGGCCCTCAGCACTGCATGCGACCAGGAAACCAATTTCCACTTGTCTTTTTTATTATTGATCCTGTTATAGGTGTTCCCCAATGTCACTCTTTCTATCCTGCACCCCTGTTCCCTCCCCGCCACCCCCGCCCCCAATTCCTCACCACACTATTTTCTGTGTCCATGGGCTGTGCCTACATGCACACAGTTCTCTGGTTGATCTCTTTCCGCCTCCTCACCCTGCCCCTCTGAGACCTGCCCATCTGTCCAGGCGTCCATGCCTCTGGCCCATGTTGTTCACTGCCCTCTGCTGGATGCATTCGCTGCCACAGCTGCCATAAGGCGGCGGCCGTGCAGGGACCGCTGTACCCTCAGTCGGAGCGCGAGCGCGTGTGCGCTCAGACAGGGGAATAGCCTAGTGCAGTGGTCGGCAGACTGCGGCTCTCGAGCCACATGCGGCTCTTTGGCCCCTTGAGTGTGGCTCTTCCACAAAATACCATGTGCGGGCGCGCACATACAGTGCGATTGAAACTTCGTGGCCCGTGCGCAGAAGTCGGTATTTTGTGGAAGAGCCACACTCAAGGGGCCAAAGAGCCGCATGTGGCTCGTGAGCCTCTCATTTATCCAGTGATTCCCAGAGTGCCCTGGGCGGGTCCCTTCACCCAGAGCTCTGGTCTGCCACCATCATTGCTGCCTGTCCTCACCGCACGTGGCTGCGCTTTGGCCAGCTGGAGGCCTCCGAGCTGGCCCGGGAGCACGTCCCTCCCCTCCTGCCCGCAGCAGCTGGCGGGGACACGTGACTCCAGTGGGTCGCCTCAGGCCTGGGCGCGGGACTGTTTCAGAGACTCCGGGCCGCTCCCTTCACGCCTTCCTGGCGGTGACTCATGGCTGTCCTGCCACCTGACGTCCCAACATCAGCGCCAAGGCCAGGCCGTTGCACCCGTTCCTGTCGAGGTGCCGGGAACGATACCAGTTTCTCCCCGTTTCGGGGAGTCCTTGGATCCCAGTCCCAACCCCTCACTGCAGCCACTCGAGCTCCGGGCCGAGTGTCCCTGGGCTCTGCCTGTAGAATGGCCGCCTGCCATTTGCTTCTGCAAGTGGCCGCCCTTCGTTCCGAGGACTCATTTTGGAAAACTCCTTCCTGGCCCTCTTTCTGGTGCTGGTCCTGCACTTCTGAATGGCCTGACTGCAGACTCCACGTTTCTTTGCCACATCCTTTCCCAGCCTCACCTCTTATTTTATTGTCCCCCCACCCCACCCCCCTCCTCTGCCCTCAGAGAGCTACCTCTCCGGGGCCTACCTTCTGCCATCCTCTCAGAAAAGAGCAGATGGATGACGATTCCGCTTCTTTCGAGGGCACAGCAGTGCGGCCGGGCAGGCCAGGGGCTGCCCCCCGAGGAGTCTCATGAACCCCTGCACCTGGTGAAGCCCTGCAGGTGTCGAGCGAAGCCCTTAGGCAGCAAGGTCAGACCTGATCGGTCAGCACCGCGAGTTCCTCCAGGGGCAGCCCCGCACACCTGCGCGCCTGCTAGGGAGCAGGCCTGGGTGTTCCTGGCCGTGCTGACGCAGGTCCTACCACTCCCATCAGCACGGTCATCCGAGGGGCATGTATTGCCTTCCGTGGGAAGGCCGCATGGACAGGAAACCCAGCCAGAAGCAGACGGCGTGGTGAGTATGGGACTCAGAACCAAGGCCACAGAGAGAAGTCAGCGCTTTATATGATCAGACCTGGAATCGTCCGAAACCTCCAGCTCACCAAACGGGGATTTTCAAAGTGAGTTCAGAAAAGTAGAACTGTGTTGGCTGGACCTCCCAGCATTATCTACAAAATACGGACGCTTCTTCCAAGAGGACTAAAATGCCGGGTCTGCTGGATGTTTCCTCAGTGTTGCATCATGTGGGATAAACTCTGATAATCTGTGCCTCTGTGGTTTTCAGCTTCTATTCAGTGACAAATCAGCTTTTCCTGGTCCCGCAAATAGTAGTTTCCAATCTCCAGGCCCTGGGCCTGCCCTGTGGGAGAGCTTGGGTGTCTGCTCTCGCCCATAAGGTGCAGGTTAGAAAGCCCAGCTCTTAGAGCTCTTTGGCTGATGCACACACTGTTTCCTTTTCTTTTTAAACATTTTCCCCCTATTTCCCCCATTGACCCCACCCCCCAGCCTGCCCCTGGATATATAGACTTTTCAACTCCTTTCTTAGTCTCGGTGTTTTTGGAAAGTCCCCGTGGAGTCCCCAAGTACAGGAGGCATTGTTGCCTCTGCTTACGGAGTGGGTGAAAAAGAGAGCAAAGGAAACGCTAGAGCGTCCTAGAGGAACTCAGGGCCGCCTGCTTCTTCCGTCCCCTGGGAAAGCTCTTCCGGGAAAGCAGCTCCTGATGCAGACGAGACGCAGAGAGATGAAATCGGGGTACAGAGGGGAGAGAGGCACGGCCCATGGTAAGAGGCCGGCCAGCGTCCCGTGACCATGTCGACGTCCTGCAGGTCTGAAGACTCCAGAAGAGATTCTCAGGGTTGTGACACATAAGAATCCTTGGGATCCACGGAACTCCTGCAGGCCTCGTCCTAAGGTCCCGATGTGGCTCACTCCCTGAGCCCTTCCCTACATGGTCCCTCCCTCCCTGAGCCCCTCCCTCCATGGTCCCTCCCTCCCTGAGCCCTTCCCTCCATGGGTCCCTCCCTCCCTGAGCCCCTCTCTCCATGGGTCCCTCCCTCCCTGAGCCCCTCCCTCCATGGGTTCCTCCCTCCCTGAGCCCCTCTCTCCATGGGTCCCTCCCTCCCTGAGCCCCTCCCTCCATGGGTTCCTCCCTCCCTGAGCCCCTCTCTCCATGGGTCCCTCCCTCCCTGAGCCCCTCCCTCCATGGGTTCCTCCCTCCCTGAGCCCCTCTCTCCATGGGTCCCTCCCTCCCTGAGCCCTTCTCTCCGGGGACATGCTGCTGGGACAGCCTGAGGCCAGGCAACTAAACAGTCTCCAGCCCAAGGCTGCTGCTCCTTTGTTTGTCTAGTCGCTGCACTTTCTGAGTTTTCCCTTTAAAACCCTTTAAAACCGGAGCTGGACCACGTGCCTGAAGTGCTCCCTCCGGCCCAGGAGAGCGCTGCAGCCTTGTGGCTTCCCAGGAGCACAGGGGGAGCTGCGTTGCCCTCTCACCACAAGAGTCTGAAGGTCGAGCCCCAGTGATTCTCCTTCACGGGCTGTTAAGAAAAAGCAGAGCTGAATCTGGCTTCCTGGCCAATAAAAGGAAAAGAGGAAGCAGGGAATCTGTTTTCTTAATTCCGAGGATACACTTCTTATGACAAGCGAAGTCTCCTTGTCACAGGGAATGAAATGCATCCTGTTAACAATTAGTAAGACGGAAAGGTTATGAGGACACATTCCACTTGAACTTTTTAATAAAAGGACTGACATATATCTCTTACTTTCTAATGCTCAATAACAGATTAATGCTTGAATTATCCCTATAACTGATTAATGTTCATGGTAGATATGTCAGTTTACCTCCAGGTCAGATAGTATCTTTCAAGTGACTTGGAAAACCTTAGCCACGTGCTGTTCTTCGGGCTAATCTCATACAGGTGAGCTCACGTGTGAACACTAAACGGAGTGCTCCCCTCAGCCCTGGCCCAGGGTGGTGGGTGTGCCTGTGCCTCTCCCGGTCCCCGAGACTGTGCCTCCTCCTCTCTAGCTTCCTTCTAGTCTGTTCTCTCTCACTTCCTTCCATCTCCGGGCGGTTCTTTCTCGCCCCACAACTAAGTAACCTTCACTCTATAGAGGAGGCCACATTCACATCTCAGCCCGGCCCTCACGCTGACCTGTAACTGCCCAGCTGCCTCCGGGACAGCCTGGGACGTGTGACGACACCTGACCACACCCGCCCACATTGCACACGGCGTCCCTGCCACTGCCCTCTCCTGGGAGGGTCATCTCAGCACCGCACAGCAGGTGCTCCAGACTCAAAGCCACGCGAGCCCGGTCTCTGAACCCATCGTCTGTGAGCCAGGCCTGAGGATTCCTGCTGGCTCCCGCCGCCCTTGGCTCTCCAGTCTTCCCCACACAGCTCCTCCCTCAGCAGCCTCCTGTCACTCACGAGAAACCCACATGTCCTCAGACGGCCCGTGCCCATTCCTCCCAATGTCGCCTCCTCAGAGAGGCCTTCCCTAACTGCTCTCGAGTCACGTGTTATTCTGTGGCTCCTGACCTTGCTCTATGTCCCTCCACA